GTCTCTCCAATTAGTGGAAAGTCGTCGAACAATTCCTGCCGGAGTTGAGTACAACGCATTACACAGAACGACAGGCGTTGAGCTCAGACAGCTTCTAAGGAAGGATCACGAGGTTTGGTGGACACAGCGAGTCATTGAGATGGGGCGAGCAGCCCCAACAGGAAACTCGCAAACTCTTCCAACTTATTCGCTCCACGGGAGGCAGCAGAGCAACAGTGAGTGGGGTTTTGCGTGAAAATGACAGCGAACAAATTCACAGTCGTCACCGTCGTCTGGTACGATCGGCAGAGCACTTTAAAGGTCAACTGGCCAGCAGCGCAACCGAGTCTATTTACCGGGGTTCACAGTGCTCCCTGGTGCGTGGATGTTTCTCCACCGACAGAGATTTCCAATGAGCTTCGCCTACTAAAGTGTCACAAGTCACCTGACCTAGATGAACTTCCTCCTGCCCTCTTCAAATATGAAGATCCTGCTCTCACTCGCGAACTGACATCTCTATTCCAGCAGATTTGGACTACTGAAACCATTCCATCCGACTGGAATTTAGCGGATGTTGTACCTGTTTTTAAAAAAGGAGGCCGAACCACTTTCCGCAACTATCGTGGCATAAGTCTCATTTGTGTCGCATCCAAACTGCTCGCTGCCCTACTCTTACGGAGACTCAGTTGCGTATGAGAACAGCACCTGCGTGAACAACAAGCTGGATTTCAATCGGGTCGCGGTTGCGTCGATCACATCTTTACGATCCGCCAGATACTTGAACATCGCCATACGTTCAATCGACCAACTATAGTCCTAATCTTGGACATTCGAACTGCGTTTGACTCTGTTGGCAGAGTGGCTCTTCGGGACTGCATACTGAAGTGGGGAATATCTGAGAAGTACACCGCCATTCTCCGTGCTATTTACCATCAAACTCCGGACCGCGTGCCAGCATATGGAGGAATTTCGCCACCTTTCAGTACCACTAGTGGTTTTAGACAGGGTTGTCCAGTCTCCCCGTTCTTGTTCAACTTCGCCATGGACATGATCCTGGATACTGCCCTGGATAACTCTGAGTCCTGCAATGTGGAACTGCTCCCTGGTGACTGCCTTCGGGACTCAGAGTACGCCGATGACATGGCTGTGATTTGCGAGTCCTCCCAAGCTACCCAGCATGTACTGCTCAGACAGTAGATGTCCGTCACCCAATTTGGATTAAGCTTTGCCCCCTTCCAAATGTAAGATCCTATTACAGGACTGGCCAAGTGCATGTCCTTCTCTCACTCTTTTGGGGCATCCGTTGGAAGTGGTCGACAAATTCATTTATCTTGGGAGTTGTCTTAGTATTGCCGGTTTGACAGATGAGATCTCCCTGTCGGTTTCGCTAACCTTCATCACCTGTGGCTTTCTCGTGATCTCAACCTCGCTCTCAAGTGACGAGCCTATAATGCTACGGTACGAGCGATTTTGCTGTACGGCCGTTAGCAAAAGCGATGTTCAGCGGTAAGCTGTCGTCGATCACTGCTGCCTGCGAAGCATTGCTGGTGTTCGATGGCAGCATCATACCAGTAATGAGGAAGTCCGTCGGCGAGTCTTCAGATCTAACGAACTCCGCCGACCGATTGATAGCATCATCTCACTGCGGAGGCTTCGCTGGCTTGGACATGTGCTTCGCATGCCTACCCAGCGGCTACCACGACGAACCTTATTTGCGATCACAGGCGTGGCTTGGAATCGAGGAAAAGGAGGGCAATGTAAAACTTCGATCCAATGCGTTAAGGCGCAAACTTTGAAGCTGGCTGTTGTCGGGCGTGCCCGACTCCCGGTTTGGGGCATAAAGGACCCCGAGCACACATGGTTGCAAACGCTGGAGGATATGGCCAAAGATCTTACGCGATGGCGCGCTTGCTGTGAGACTATTCTACCTTAACAGTTGTTTGCCCTTTGACGCTATCCTTTTTTTCTCCTTATGTGTTTTGGCACTCAGCCAATTAGACTGTTGTTGATATAGTGTTGGATATATATATATATATATATATATATATATACTGGATATGGGGTATGTGGTTGGAGCTGTGGGTGGTACAGCGCAAGCCATCCATGGTCCCTCTGTAGGCGCAGGCGTCCTGTGGCTTGCCACAGTGACAGGCAAATCCGAAACCGGATGCCGCCTACCATGTATGTGCCCCATGCTGAGGCTGATGTTGCATTCTTGATGCTTCTCACCGCAGTTGGGCTAAACCAACTTACACTTAAACTAGGTCTTTTTAAGCTGGATAAATTTCATTCCGCTTTATTTGGTTTGTTCTGCCTCCCTGAATAATGTTCTATTAACTGGCCACGTTGCTTACACTAATTGCGCTTATCTTCGGTAATTTTGTTGCGTTTTGTAGCATTTTTAAGTAACTTGTGGACATTTCTTACTTATCACGGATTTGTTGTTAACCCACTTACTTCATATGGTAAATTAGCGAAGAGTTATGCCACCGTATCTGTATGCATTGTTGGATTTATTTTATTTCAACTTGTCGTTTAAAGTGAATGGCTGTTGTTTGATATCCCCGGTGTGGTTGCGCTTGATGTGTATGTTGACAAGGTGCCTACCTGTCTATTACCCACTACATCGTTCATACTGGCTCCAGGAGACAGTTGGTCGTTGCTGGAGGGGACGGGGTGCACGGTTCTTGTGGCCGTGCTAGGCTCAAAGAGCGGTTCCATGCACTCAGTGTGGAGCGGACTACGGTCCAGCCACCGCCTTGTGTGCGCTTGATTTCCCCAAATACAGCGTGCTTGTGTTTGCCTGTGAAGGAGTGTGGGCCGGCTCCGTTGATGAAACGTGGTTCCCATCCGCATGCCTCCCGGTCTTATTCCTTCGGGCTTACACTGGATATGGGGTATGTGGTTGGAGCTGTGGGTGGTACAGCGCAAGCCATCCATGGTCCCTCTGTAGGCGCAGGCGTCCTGTGGCTTGCCACAGTGACAGGCAAATCCGAAACCGGATGCCGCCAACCATATATATACCTGGCGACATCGGATTCCGGATTTGCCTGCAACTGCACCCTCCATAGGACAGCCACAGGACGCTTGCATCTACTGAGAGACCATGTGGGCGCTTGCTGCACCACCCACAGCTCCACCCACACACTTATAGCTGGTGTAGAGTCGAAGGAATAAGACCGAGAAGCATGTGAATCGGAGCCACTTTCATCAACCGAGCTGACCCAAACTCCTTCAACATGTACAGCAGCAGTGTTATAGTCTATCCGCTCAGGGAATCATGCGTTTCAGACGCACAAAATGCGGTGGCTGGGCCGTGGCTCATTCCACACTGGATATATATAATCGCTCTTTGAGCATAGCACGTTCACGAGGACTGTGCACCCTGAGTCCCAACATAGATTAGCAGTCTACTGGAGTCAGTAATCGAGATGGAGAGTTTCGGACAGGTAATCACTTTGTCAACATTCACAGAGAGCGCGTCCAAACTTCGCAGGTCACACGGACGGTTTAATGTATACATATAAAAAGAAAAATATAGATGGCGCTCGTGAAAGCCAGATTCGTGAGGAGCAAGCCGGGTTTCGTCGGAGTTGTGGCTGCATCTATCACATCTTCACCTTGCGTCAGTTGTTAGAGCACTGTCACACATATCAGCGTCCCACCGTAGTCGTGTTCCTCGACATCAAATGTGTCTTCGGTTCGGTTGATCGATGTGCCCTTTGGAATTGTCTACTCAGGAAAAATGTGTCTGAGAAATATGTAAATACTATCCAAGCACTATACACGCGCAGCACGGGCAGAGTGAGGGCTTACGGCAAGTTGTCGTGGCCCTTTAATATCTCCAGCGGTGTGAGACAAGAATGCTCGCTCTCACCTTTCCTTTTCAACTGCGCTATTGACGAAGTTACGGAGATTGCATTTACAGAACATGACATGGAAGGTGTGGAGCTGCTCCCAGCAGAACTTCTTGACTTAGAGTATGCAGACTACATTGAGCTCATCTGTGACAGCTCCCAGACGTGCCAAGCTGCGTTGGACAGATTAGCACAGGCTGTCAGCAGCTTCGGGCTTTGCTTTGCACCATCAAAGTGCAAAGCTTTTCTCCAAGATTGGCATGGATCGCCTCTTGCGCTGACCCTTGGTGGGGAACAGCTAGAAGTCGTTCAGAAATGCAACTACCTGGGAAGTTGTATCAGCGCCTTTGGGATCGAGGAGGAGATCACGAATAGTACAGCAAAAGCTTGAGGTGCTTTTGCGAGCGTTCGCCACCTATGGCGGCGGCGCGACATCACTCTCGCCCTGAAGGGTAGAGTGCACAATGCAGGGGTACGTTCGACACTACTGTGCGGTTGTGAAACCTGGCCCTTTAGATCAGTGGACATAAAGAGCCTAGTTAGGTTCGACCACCGGTGCCTACGCAACTTAACTCACACCGCGTGAGCAACGAGCATGTCCGACACCTTGTTTACAGCACAGAAAAAGGAAATGAACCGCTGCTCAGCACCGTCATTTCACGCACCGGGGTCCGATGGCTCGGCCACGTGTTATACATGCCAGCCCACCGGCTCCCGCGATGTATGTTGTTTGCTCTCTGGCGGTGTGGATGGAAGAAGAGGAGGAGTGGCCAATCGATGACTTGGTGGAGAGGAATGAAAGGCCTCACCTCGTAGCTGGCCTCGACTGGAGCGTCTCGGCTCCCTGGTTGGGGTCCAAAAGACGATGAACACGTAGGGCTAGATACAGTTGCTGACATGGCTAGGAGCCGACCCCAGTGGCATTCCTGCTGTGAGTTTCTTTGTCCCTCCCAACCCTTTTAGCCCACCCCTCCAACCACGATGTCATTTCGTAGCATAAGATAATTTTACATAATGATTTTGCTCCGTGCCTAGTAACCAGGTTGTAGCTTTCCGGAATGATGCCCATCCGTCGCTGGTAACTCAGCTGGCATGCAAATGTTGCATTTATTTTCTTTTTTCCTTTTATATATGGCGGCATAGTAGCTGAGGTGTTGTGCACATTTAGTTAACGTGTATAATGATAATGACAAATATAAATATGGTTATGTAAGAATTCATATGGAGTGAAACATACTCGAGGGAAACTTCCTGCTGATGTAAAAAACCGATGACTGATGGTGTCCACTCCCATGAGACTAGCCGAAGTTCCACGCAGTAAGCTAACCAATCTTGGAGGATAGTTAGGACCTTTTGAGCGTCCAAGCGTTGAGAAGCATTGGCTTGGTATGCAGAGGGACCGACGTACTGCATCGCTTCAGTCGCCTCCGGGAAAGTCATTCTGATTAAGTGTTTTATAAGTCGAGGATTTTCATGAAATGCAATGTCTTCAGCTTTTGATTTGACGGGATGTTCGGGATTTAAACGGTAACGCGAGATCTTCGCGGCTTGAACCTTTAAACATGTCAATGCCTGTCCAGAAGTAGCAGCAGCCAAACGCGGATCCAGTGAAGCATTGTCCGCAAGTAATTGCATTATTACGGGCATATAAGTAGAACGAGCTGCGTCTTCAGACAAACGAATGTGCTCCAGTATGTCGAGGAGGATAGTACACAAAATTGAATAGGCTATGCACCGGGCAGCGATGACCTCGTTGTTGGGTTTAGTCACGATAAAGGGACGCAAAACGTTTTTAATCACAGATAGTAGACTATTCATGGTCTTGGGCGTGGTCACAATCGTGTCCTTATGGCGACGATATAGGGTGTCCAATTGCTGAACAACTGGTAAGGGGGATTTCATCGCGTTTTCATTCGGATGCAGAAGAAGTACGAGATAGGCAATCACGTAACCCCGCAGCAAATGGCTGTTAGCAAGGAAGAATCGTCGGTCTTCCGTACCGATCAGAAGCTGGTCAATCCTTTGAGCCAAAGTTGGGTTCCGCTCGAATGAGGCGACGCGCATTGCCACGGTGAAAAAATGAAAATCGTCCAGCATCCAGTGATCGGCTCGAGAAGGAGGTCGGCGAGTGAATCGCCGATCCAGTTCGGAGACAAAGCTCTCCGTCATGTATGAAACAGAATAGTTGCGCCAATCAGCTGAGTGCAGTCTGTGTGGTGAAAAACGGGCGAAGTGTAGTACCTTTAAGAGATTGGCCATTACGCCCATAGAAGGTTCCAGACCGAGAGATCGTATCTCATTCATCAAACCCAGTGCGACAGAGACACATTGCTTCAGGACCAATTGGTCGGGAGACGCATAGGGTTTGTTCACTCGGATAACAAATTCGGCCAGCGCGAAAAGGATGGAGGAGAAGAAGGTCATGTCTGGTACCTGACTGGAAGCCACAAAGCGATTGATTATGGGCTCGGCGACGGTCCAAACATTAGGCACGTCCAGGTGGCACAAACTGCGAAGCAAAATGCTATACGTTGACATATCTAAGCATGCATTTCCAGCCGGGGTGCTCCAGGCACGCTCAGCAAATTGTAGAGCGCGAGCGGGGCTATGAAACTTGGATGCCCCCCGGATCATACTGCAATAACCGTTCGGAGTTTGCAAACGTTCTTTTTCACGTAGGAATAATTCCTCCGCGGCATTATGCAAGGACCAGGCTCCCGAATAGAACTCAGTGAGGATATCGGCAACATTGGACGACTCGGCTACTGTGCCAGCATCACCTGCCTCATCATCTGCGTCTATTGTTGGGTTTGCAAACACAGCAGTGCTCGCTGGACTAACTGTGGGGGCTTTGACATTCAGTGACACTTCACGCATGTAGTACATGTCATCCGGGTCTGGAAGGGATGATAAGTCGAACTCGATCGGGGACACTTGATTCCCGGATGTCCCAGTGTTGGTAGAAGACAACAAATCGAGCAGACGATGCAAGGTTTCGTCGGTCCATTTTTCATCCTGGAAGCCAGACAAGAAAACGATTGTAAGAGACAAGTGTTGGAATGCGACTGGCAATCATAACATGCGGGAATGAACAGAAGAAACAATAAAGGCAAGCAATGAAAGATGAACAAACACGCGAGTCGTTTTCAAGTAAACAAAATACCACCACTAACGAGTCCCAATAGGGCGAAACGTATATGGTGCTTTTCCGGATTAGGCTGTGCTATGTCGGAAACAAAATACCACCAAAGTGCATGGAGAGATTGTTCGTAAGGGACAGTTGCGAGAACGCGCCCAAAACTGAGTTCGGCACTAAGCCATACAGACAGGCATCAAACTGTAGACCAAAGCGAATCACCGGTTCGGAAGTCGCCGAACGACGGTAGCATCGGTCATAACCCACATCTACTGCGTATGAAACACTGTGAGCTAACGGCTGAACAGAACAGGCTTGAAGCATTTCAGCTAGGCGACAGATGGTGAGGTATGTTTGGTGTCAATTGTGCTATCACATCTCCCCATTATTGTGATAAAAATGCCAAAGAACAAATAAGCGGTAAATAGCTTTAAGTTGGAATTAATGAATTTGCTTTCATTAAAGCAGCTTTGGCCATTGTTTCGCTCTCGGAAGATTCCCATGGGAATAGCTGTCATCGCTAGAATGACCTGAAGGTACAAATTCAAGCAATGTTCAAATATTACTAAGGAGTAGTGGGGATTTTGCTATAATCAGATAATTCATGATGGTCACTCTCAGTCAGCATGCTTTGGCTAATCTGAAAAAGAACTAGACAGCGCTGTTTCAAACTTCTGGGTCTCGTCAGTAGTGCGCCTTCATCAGACCCCTGCAGGGTTCCTACCCTATAACTTCCGATGTCAGCAGCTAGTGCCACTTCGCCATGGGTGACAGCCGCAGACCAGTGTGATTGACAGTTGGCTGATAGAACTCGACTCATCTTTCATTGCCATTTCAGTTACGGACATGCAGAGAACAGCAACCAGCTATACGAGCTAGAACTTTCTGCATAGCGCCTATGTACGACATAGGACTTAGAAGCTATACGGGCAGATTTTTATATTACTAATGGGTAGTGGTGCCAAAGCCTGCCGACTTTAGAGTGGATCATGATGAATTATCTATGAATTCGCAAACAAGTACACACAAAACTAATCTGGCGATCATAAGGAAGCAGAGATGTCCGAATAACTGCAACGTCCACTCGCACATTGATATGGATCAACTGCGATCCATTGGCATCATAACAGTAGATTGTGCCGTTTTTCGTCGGCACAGAGCAACAAGGCGGTGTGGATTTGGGAAATACCAGATTACCAAAAGCTGGGTAGGAGAGTAAAAGCGCCTTCAACTGAAAACGTTCCATCAAAACCTTTGCCACAAAGCAATTACAACACAGCAACGGTTCACCAGATCGGCACATTAATACAAAATGGCTTGGCTCCAATTCCAATACCCAACGAGAAACCCGAGTTTCTCTGCTCTCACGATGAGCAAAACAATGTCTACTGCAGCTCAAAGGGTAGGGATGTAAGCAGCTCGTTGGGTCATATCAAAGTTCAGGCAAGCTACAATCAAACGATCGATTGCGAAAGATTTCAGATCGGTAAGTGGTCTATCAGTGAAGGCGACGGAGTAGCTGTAAAAAGTGAGTTCAAAGTAAGCCGATGCATGCGACAACCATGTAACAGAACTTTGCATACGTGCCTTTATAGTATACTGCGGATGAATTGAAAGGATGTTGATGCATGCAAACCAGAACGGGGCCACAATTCGAAGCGAGCAAGGGTGAACGTAGGGTATCTCAACGAGGAGCTTAGTGCGCATAGACCACATCAAAATCACATGAGCTGAAGATCAAATGGAACCAGTGGAAGTTATATCTCGCGAAGAGTAATGATAAGTACCTTGACCTACGGATCACAAGCTAGAGGATTAAACCCGTTAACCATCAGCCGACCTTGTGAATGAGTTATTCCGTCTGGAGATACAAAGCTGTTAATGATCTAAAACGTTTCATGTAGTAGGGCTCTAATTATGCTGCATGTGTACAAACAATAGCGAGAAGACAAGACAGGCGCAGTTAGCTCACAACCTCGTGAGGGTCACTGATTTTAGTTTCGGATACGCAGCACACTTCAGTACCCAGCGTGTCCAACGTGCGTGCGATTGCAGCATGCTGACTAATTTGCCTTAGACTACGAAGATTGAAAGCCTACAGGGAAAGGGGACAGTATGGGCTACTAAGGCGCTGTTGGCGATTGTTATCCAGTTGGTGGTGTGAGATTGCTGGGAAGTATAGAAAGAAGGCTAGCACGGGGAGCCGGGAGAGGAATAAGAGAAGCAGATAGAAAAGAATGAAACGAGGTGTCAACAGTAGCAAGCTTTTCTGCTGTATGCAGCAGATAAGGCGACCCTCGGTAAGATGTGCGACGGTCGGTGTGGTTGAATTTTGAAGAAATAGTCATGGTTGTACGTGGGATGAGATACTGCCAGGGCGATCAGACTTAGACAGAAGAACAATTAGGGCCCTCAACCAAAGACTTTGGATCAAAGAACGGTCCGCAAGGCAGCAGATGTGCCGGTGATTCGGTTTTGTAGCAGTGGACGCCAGCCCATTTCAAACTCCAACCTGAAGGACTAGGAGACTGAGTGCATCTGATCTCCTTCCATTGACCAATCTGGTACGAGTAAGTCACAAGGATCCAAAGGCCCCATTCAGTATAGCTTAATGGGTCGGCGAGGTACGCATACCGTTGCACCACGTTAAAGTCCAGTCGCGTTGCGACGGTGTGCTATCCTTGGTTGTAACTGTTGAATGAGCTTCTCACAGTTTCGCACCGGGGCTCAATCAATTGATAATGACTCAGCCGTGGGGCTGAGAATGGTGCCAGCCCCAGCTGGACCTGTGTTTGTTGCATCAGTGTCTCCGTATATGCGTAGTCAGTAGAGAGAGGACAGGTTAGATAACCGCTTGAGGGTCACTAATCATAATTTCGGACACGCAGCCCATGTGAACACTATGAGGGTCCAATGAACGTGCAAGCGTAGCCTGCTGATCCAACTGTTATAGGAAACGAAAATTAGGCAGCGCCAAGGAAACGGGACAGCATACTCTGCTACGGGGCTATGAATGATGTCAGCCAAAAGGGCGCTGTTGGAATGAAACTGAAGATAGCAGAACTGAAGTCGTACTGCAACTTTCGCCAGTTAAGCTAATTTTAGAAGAAACGATAGAAGTGGGCGTAGGAAGGAGCATAAAAGAAATAGCTGGAAAAGTAGGGAGCATCATTCCGTTCATCTGCGGTGACTCAAATCACACAACAAACCAACCACAACAAACCAACACTAAGAGCACCAAACACATGTAATCGCCCAGACACAAGTGCAATATTTGGCCGCACCGGGAAAAAGGGGCTGTTGCGAAACAACCAACAACAATACCGTACTTAGCAAATATCGGACTCGTGCGCATCCTCGAAATGAAATAGTAAGGCGCAGATCATACCAATGGGGGTAATTACCCCAACTGGTTCAGCCTCCTACCGATTTCTCGTATAGATTACTTCTCTCTCCATTCACTAAATTGTGAATACTGAAGTAGGTGAACAAAGGTATGCGAAAAAAAGCAAATCTAGATTAACCCGTCGAAACTTTGCTTGCGGTATGAAGTTACACGATGGAACCAATGAACGTAACAACGGAGCGTTTCGTCCGGGACAATCCAGGCAAATGGAAGGTAAAGTGATGAACCTTAAGAGGAAAATATGTGTGCAAATTGTTGATAAGTTCCACAAGATGAAAATGATCATCTGATATTTTGTCGCGTATGCATTGGCCTCCTGAGCAAGTACAGTTGTGAGCAATCTCCTCCTTCTCTGATGGCGAAAGAGTTGTAACCAAACCGCCGAAGTTAGCAAATAAATCAACGTCGGAACAATGATCAACCAGTAAGGTTGGATAACAGATGAAGTGGGCAATGAGAGTATAGAAGGACATCGTTTTCGGATCAATAGGTAGTCCGAGGACAGAAAGCAAAAGCTGATCGGTTAGTTGCTTCAATGTGTTTCTGTGTGGAAATGGAATTCGTCAAAACGGTAATCACAGGTATTAAGATAGGTACACTTGTTACATGCAAACGCTGACGGTTGGAATCTGTGAAAATCAAGCAAGAAAGTAGTAGACAGCATGAGAACTCACTGGGGCGATCTGCTTGTACAGCTTCCAGGCGTGTCGAGGAGCCAAGAGAAGAATTAGGCGATCCATCGCATCGGAAGGAGTAATGGTTCCATCGGTGACGCGCTTAAGAATCTCGTCAGGAGAAAGTAGCGGGAGAAGGCGGTTGATACGGGGAACCTGTGATATATCGGGGTTTGAAATGCGAAATGAGGCAAGTGATAGACGAGAGAAACACAGTTTGGTGAATTGGGATGTCGTGAAGTGAGCATCAAGTTGGGACCGGAAATAGTCAAGCATCAACTTGTCACTGATAATCCAGACAAAATGGGTGGAGCTGTTTGGTTTGTTTGCAGTAAAAGTTGGCCGACAGCGAGGTAGACAAAAAAGGTGGACCGTAAACAAAATGTAAATAAGTACAGGAGGGGTCAGACTGAGCGGTTCGTAGTCACAAGCGACAGGACGAAAGCCGACCTGTCTCCGGCTCATGGTCCGACCCAACCGAACCTATAAACCAGCAAACACATTTAGCAATGAGGATGAGACTTGGGTAACTTCCTTGCCTTCGTTGTCCACCATGCAGTCAATTGGACAGCTTGGGACTTAAGTAAGGCAGATCCATCGCCGGGAAGATACAGGACACTCAAGCAGGTACGGAGTATGGAGCGCGTAACTGAAATAATGCAGATGGTAGAGTGATATCGGTTTGCATGGTGAACGACCATTGAGTCTATTCCCAAGCACTGACTGGTGAGTTTCACTAACATACACCCGGCGAGCTCGCAGGAAGTGATTGGTAACACGAAAATACCTATGATGACAAATGGTTAATGCAGTGTGCGGTGTAGGAAGGTGACACGCGTTTCACAATTGTAAAAAACCGGATGAATTGACAGAACATGCGGTCCATAACTTCCAGCCAATGTACGTGAGTTGTTCCGCTTTCTCATCAGCGGTGTGATAGGTAGCTTGGAACCACTCGCCGAGCAGTATTCGCCCTCTGAGTTAGGTAGGAACACCTGATCCCGCTGGTGTACGAAGAATGTAAGTGATGAAATACAAGTGAAATGAGAAGCGATGAAGAAATAATCAAGGAGGAGGAAAATGGAGACCGAGCGAGTTGCGTTTTGCGGGTAAATACAGCCGAGATCGGTATGTGAATGACGCAGGCTAGCTGAGGAGTGAATTGGTTGAACACAGTGAGAAAGAAACGGGTAACCGTCATGGAAGCAACTAGTCATTCGAACTGGATTCCAACCCATGAACAGTTTTCTACGGAACTGTATAACCGTGAGCTGAAAGAAATTCCGCCAAAACCGAGGCGCAGAGTATACACAAAAATTAGACACACGATTTGAGCCCGTGAAGGAAAAAGGTCAATGTGGCAGATAATTGTTAAATTTGTGGTGTGGAGAGTTGAATGAATACGACTAGGTCTCGCATGCGGTGTCATGAGTGCCCGATTAGCTTAAGCTATTTAAGAGCGCTTTCCGGAACACTCAATGCGAAGAGAAAATTCAGCTGTCACAAAACAAGACGAAGAGGTCAGGTTTTTAAATTAAGATCAATACAAAGTAATTTTAGTTCATAGTTACGAACAGGCGCTAAGAGCCCGGCATCAATGAAATTGAAAAATGAGAATAAAGGATTTCGTGATAAGTGCAGACTGTACGCTGTAGGGATTCAGCTCATTCCAGCTAAGCCACTGTGATCCGCAGAGAAAAGAGTAGCTTACTCAGTTGTCATAACTTGCAGATTTAGTAAGAAAAGAATAGAACTATGGATTTATCATGGATAAAATCACAAAAATATCCCATAGCTTTAAAGATCACAAGCCTGCCTTGTAATCCGAGAGCGTAGGTTCGAGCCTGCGCATGAACCCGGCGAATTTCGTAGTATCCCTGTCCCGCGTGTGACTGGTGGTGGCTGCGCGGCAGCGGAGCATCGGTACTGCGTAACGGCGTACTGCTGATGACTTTGGCTAGCGTGTTGAACAATCCCGTTATGGTACCAGCTGGGTGGTTTGGGACTATCTTATTCCAGCCATTGGTTCGGCGGAAGTGTTTCAGGACATGGTGGGTTTTCGCCTGGCAAGCGTACTCCTTATGGAAAGCCACATATCGTTCAACAACACTGTGACATGGTGGATGTGAAACGTAACCAAATAAAGTCACTACCCCTTGCATTTCTCAGAAAGGCATTGTAATTTAAGGGTGTGTTGGGTTCTTGATCCTTTGGAGGACATAATGTCGTGTTAACCAATTGTTTGGTCACCGGCTCCCAATGGGTTGCGACGCCCTCATATCATCCTGTTGGCTTGTAGGTCAGATCCCTGACCAAAGGGTCGGAGTAGAGCCCCCTCTACTTCTGTCTGGGTAACCGGGTAGTATCATCCCCACTGACGAATCATGGATGGATACTTCTGTTAGTACTTTCGCTCTTGCTTGGTCTACTATCTCTTCCGTCTCCATTGCTCAACT